AAGAGTCTGTCAAGCTAAAGTTAGAAGTAAGAAAAGAAGAAGTAAGAATTAGAAGTAGCAAAAATAAATTCTTCAAACCTTCTACTTCCTGTTTTTGTTTTCCTTACGACTTCAAAGACATTCTCAAGAAGTGTGGCATTCGATGAAGTTTCCAGGGAGCTAGTTTGATGTTTGGTCTAATGGTGGTTTGTGGACGTCTTTACGATATGTGGAATAAGAAGCCGTTCTATTTTGGTACGTTATCGCATCATCTTTCCTGATTTCTTCTCTTTTTGATTCGTCCTTTAGATTATTTCTTAGAACTCTGCGTTGAAATTGATTTTGATTCACTCGCGGTATAGTAATATTGAAATGGCGCCTCCCTAGACTGTCACTGTACAGTGCGCGTGACCTTGTTCAGAGCCAATTATTTTGATGAGCTTTTTTGTTACTGCAGCTTCACTAACCATACGCTCATCTTTTTCCTTGACCAGCGAAAGTCGCACCTCCTTTTAGCTTCGCTGCTTCGGAGAAATTTCTAGTTATGAATATAGCACTAGAAAGCTCGTTTATTTTGAAGGGGAATGCATGCTTGCCTGCCTATAGAAATAAGTAGTAGGCTACAGAATAAGTGGCTATGGATACGGATCAGATACAAACTGAAGTTGTTGTGAGAGGAGTCATTTTCAGCGCTCGTCCCTCGTCTTGCCCTTTTGGGAGTGGGAAGCGCTGCGGGTTATGGAATGGGAGCATTGAGAGAGCATCACTGGAAAACCAGGGATGCTGTTATACAACACTACATGGAACTTCATCCTGAAGATTTCGACCACTTCAAAGATAGTAAGTCAATTTCATTGGTGGAATCATCTTATTGCTGCTCTACTTCATGAAATGTCAAAAATCAATATTTGAATCATTGATCAGAAAGTGATCATACTGAACATTCGATTTAACAATTCAGGCCTTTTGGTAAAGCTCATTGGCCTGAGCATTGCTTTTTTCTCGACCAAATTAACATAAATTTCTACCTGTTGGAATCCAATTTCAATATAACCGAAGATATTACGAGTTGTGTGAAGAACAGCATACAATTTGGGAAGCTTGACTGAAAAGAAGTGAAGTTTTAATAATCATATGATTTTCCAAAGTATTTCGATTGAGTCTTCTTACAATTTATGTATTTTGAGTCTGGTATCCTGTTTCAAAACTGTTTGACGGAAACCACAGAGTACCGTTTGTTTTCAGGAAGTGGTCGCCCTTTTTCACAAATTCTCCTGCCATGGTATCCCAAACGAACTCAGTATATTAAGTACGAGAAATTTTAGATAACATAGCATAGCACAGTTGTTACTTTACATTGTATTTTCATGTAGTGTAGTATTTGGAATAAATATCCGTGAAGGACTGACTGTTGTTAGTGAATTTAATTGTAGGTATTTCCTCTTTACTGAACATTGATTGAGACTGTTCACGAGGCATTTCGGAATTTTCTTGTTTCGTGTTTTTTAGCCCAATTTCTAGTAACTCTGACTTCTGAGTTATTCAGTATTACAGAAAACCTCAGCCTATCATACTAATTTTTAACGGAATCGTTGAATGAATGAAATGCTAGAAGATGCCACCTCTACTGAATCATTGGATGCGATAGCACGTAAGAAAGAACTACTTCTCCAACGATTGCAGCAACGACGGCCTGTCAAGCATGCTGGTTCAGGTAAATGAATCTCTATAGTAGCATTTATCAAAAGTTCAGCAAGTCAGAAGAGAGTTGGGCCCTAAATTTCTTCGAAAGAAAAAGTGAAAGTTGCTTATAAATTGTTTGCCCCTTCTCGGGCCTGTCTTCATTGCGTGGGCAGTGGCCACTACACGCTGAAATCAGCAGTTCTCCTGAACCCTGAATCAGTTTTTCCTTTTTGTTCCAATTTAAACGCAGTTTTCGCTACTTGTGCTCGGAAATCTCACTTATCGCTTACCTTGACCGCAAATTTTTAGCGCTGATTACGCTTCAATTTCTGGATTGTAATGATGCTCACCCGCATTGTCTGGGCAATCAAGTGAACTCGCCGTTTGAAGGCAAATACATTTCCATGTGTTTTAAGTAAAATTTCAAGGGACTGAAAAAGCAAAGCTCAGAGAAGAAGAATTGAACGAGACGTTGAATCGTGCTAGAGAGCAGGCAGAACGTGGAGTTGTTGATGAAGAAACTGTGAGAACTTTAGGTGATTCTTCCTTATTGAAAATGTCAGTATCAATTTTATGTGTAATTGCTTCCTTTTTCAGAAGAATTTTTATCTCTCGAAGGATGTGGATGGTCCGCAAAACGCATACAAGAAGCACTGGAGTTATTACGACAAGCTAGTTTGGGTCAAGGTGGCAAAGATGCACAACCATCTCCGTTTTCATTCTCAGTAAGTTGATAAATTGTTGCAGTTCCCACACATTTCTTCCTTTCGAATAATACAGCTTCAAGCGCTGTTTTTCATATTTTTGGGAGAAAATTCCATATCGAAACAATTGTAAGCCTTTGTTTAGTTTTTTTTCTTTTCATGTCCTTTCTGCTCTGATTCAAAGTTGATGAATATCCTTCTACATTTTAGCATCAAGTTTACTTTTTCACAGTTCAAAAAGAACACCAACACCACCGTCTCCCACGACCACCCCCATACAACAGCTACTGCATCCTACAAAGTTGCGTCCGTGTCTTCGAATGAAATTCCTGATAATGCAATTCAGTTGTCGAATCTGGTTGGTTTAACTTGATCCATTGCAATGATGCCTTCCAATTTTGATGAAATCTCCAGAACGGTGAAAATAGAATTATTATCTGACGGTCAAGACGATTTATGTAACAACAAGGAATAAAAGGATTGCCAACTTCGTTCATCTTCGCCATTCAACATTCATATCCAGCGTGGCATAATTACGTCATTCCCTCAGTTGATAAGCCTCCATGAAATCTCCCATTTTTTTCAAGGTAGTGCATATTGCAACTTCTTATTCTCCTGTCGATACATCCATTCTCGTATGTACTGCCACAACCCATAATTATTAGCAAAGAAGCTTTCGACTTTCGCCTTTTTTCATCCTTTTTTAACGGTGTCATTAAATGTTAAATGTTGATTTCACCTTACCTGGAAGAAGACTAACACCTGAGTTCCACTTGAAAGCAAGACGAACGTGGTGAAGTGGCAACATCCATTCCACCTACCACGCTTATTGCCCGTGGCTCAGATTCAAGGTCTAACTCCACCTAGGCCAATGAATCCTTTTATTCCTTTCGGATCGGTAAAATGTGCCAGGCTCGTTTGGGAAGATAACAATGGAAACATGTACATCCACTGATTTTCGCTGGTCTTTGTATAGTTTGAGTCGCATTAAACTGTCACACGATTGACTAACAAAAGTTGGATGCGCGGCGCATTCCAGAAGGGATTGAACAATGACGGATGCTTCGTCTTCGTCCCTTGCTAATCCTGGACAAATTCAATGGTGTGCTTTTTTGCCATGTGTGGTCGATTGATACTCAAAGCAACTGTTTTGCCTTTAACCCTGTAAGAAGTGACCAATCGTGAGGGGTAAGAGGCGAGGTGAATCTGAATGCGGTCTGATCCACGGGCTATGCTTTCGAGTCTCAGTTTAAGCTTTTTCCATACGCGATAGTTACAGGTGATGATTGCAAATCTATTTTTTGTGTCAAAGAAGTTGTGCTCGCAGCCGCAGCTTCTTTCTGAAGCGTTGCAGTGGAGATCTTAGCGACTTCTTGCTATTTGCTTCTATTTTCAGGTCACAAATATTTGCCACCGCTCAAGCAACTTCGTATCCATAACTCTCACGAGCTTCGTCTTCATGTGGGAGTACGTGCTGCTGTCATTATCGAGTCCTGTAACAATATTCGTATGGCACCTTATAGGTTTGTTGCTCTTCCAAAACTGTTATACTCTTGATTACTAACGAAAAAGTGAGAGCGCCATTGTGTGGCCACGCCATATGTCTAACGAGGGAAGGCATTGAACTTCCGTGGAACTTTGAATCAAAACCTAGATACATAGATAGAGCCTTGGGCACGAGTTAGAATACGGAACCCAAAATTGCAAAACGAACTGCCAAGGAAGTTACGAGCAGTCGAAGTTGGCTGCAAATGAGCGCTTTGGATGAGGCTCGCTAGTGTCAGTAAACTGTGTTGCCGTGGTGTAGTGGTAAGGCTCTCGCTCATCATCATGCAGGTCATGGGTTCGGTTCCCACTGCGGCACACGTTTTTGCAAATCATGTTTCGTACCCAGGAGACTTCTATTCTAGTTTTT